GGAAACAGGCTCTGCTCATGCCTCCCTGCTGCCAGAGCCCTTTCACACCTGTGGGAGCCACCCCTGGGGCAGGAAGGGAATGAGAAAAGGCAGAGTCACCACCACACCAGAGGACACCTGGAAGCACTGGGCTCTCTCCAGCCGCCTCCACCCCAGACATGCAGCCCCTTGTCATTAATGGAGAACTGAGGACACTTCCATGTGGCTTCTGCAAATGCATCTAAGCAGCCTGAGCTCTGTGAGGAGCTGGCACATGTGCAGACAGAGGCTGCTTGGGGTCCCACAAGGCACTGGACAAGGATCTCACCAGCTTCTTGGAACAAGACTGAGAGTCTCCCCTGGGCAATTAATCCCTTAAGAGGAAAAAAGGTTCCATAACGTATGGGAATGGACAGGCAACTTCCCCAACAGTGGAGCATCAAGAGCTCAGAGCAAGGGTCAATAATGGCAAGAAGTTCTTTAGAGCAACCAAAATGCAACTGAATGTAGACCACTGCCAGGAAAAGGGTATTAAAAAAAAAGTCTAAATCCAGGTAAAAGTGTTGCCTATGGAGACAACAGGTGTGTTTCCAGCATCACACCTGCCCCTTCCTCAGGCAAGCCTGGTGCTCCTGGCTCAAACCAGCTGACCTTTGTGGAATCTTGCACTGCCCTGAACAACCTCCACAAAGCAGGGTGATACTGCTGCCAACATGTGCCTTCCAGCTTCAAAACCTTTCCCTCATACACAATCCACTCTAAACTTCCCCAAACTCAGTTCATAATTTTCACAATTTTGTGATAAATTTGAAGCCACGACATTGCTCTTACTCCAAGTCCCTGACCTTCAGTTTTAAAAAGCAGTGTCAGTCTACATCCCAGAATTTCTTCCACAAAACCTTTGGAGGACACAGGAGTTTTGTGGAAGAGAGCAGAATCCCCATAACCATGGGAGGTTTTCACAGCAGGACCCCAGGGTATCACTGCCCTTTCTGCTGCAGTCCCAGGGGTGATCAGCTGTGCTGGAGGTCTGGATTGGGAACCCCTGTGGGTGGCACAGCCCTGGGCACCAGGACACCACTTCCCTTTATTTGGCAGATCCCAAAGCCCAGGTCAGTGTGCTGGAAGAGCTGGAAAGGTTCCTGCCTCAGCACAGGAAGCAAACTGTGCACTGTCTGCACTTCAAGGCCGACTGCACAACACACAAAAACAGGGCAAGAGGGAAGTACTCTCCTCTATTCCCAGACAAAACCAGCATTATCCACAAATCCCAAATGCATTTCTTTTCCCTTTTCATTTTAGGAGAAGAGACCAGATTTAATTGTTGTCCCCATCTGGTGCACATTCACAGTACGTAAGAATGAGTTTAATTTCCCATACATGTGTCAGATCATGACCTCAGGGAGAAAGAAGAATCTGATTTCCAGAAGCCACACGCCAGTTCCCACTGGCTCTGCCACGCACAGCACGAAACACCCCAACCAACCAGGATTCAGCATAAGTTGTTCACAGGATATACAATCCAAAGGGACAAGTACAAATATTACAAAATGAACGGAATCACTTTTAAAATCCATGTATTTGTTGAACCGTTAAAAACAGACAGGAACAGAAAGAGGAGGCCAACCCAACAACTCCCTGCCGCTCCAGTTGGTGCTGCCTGCACGCTCTGGGAACGTTCCTGCAGAACCAAACTCTGGACATCCTTGCTGGCAAGGGCTGGAGACAACTGGCAGATGGTTCCTGACTGTGTGAAGGGCTGAGGCAGAGCCACAGGCCCAGGGCAGCTCTTTCATGGTGTCTGGCTTAACGCAAAGGCATTGAGAGAAAAGGTTGTCTGGGGTAATGTCAGAGAGCGAGAGAGAGCAAGAGAGAGCGTGAGGGACACCACGCCAAGGGCAGGGAATAACAGGAGTTCCTCTTTCCCTGCCACGGCAAGAGGGAAGTACAACAGATCTGTGGGTCCCAGAGTTAGGACAGAGTTTGGAATTAGCTTGGTCCCATGGATATCAACATCACTTGACAGACTCAGAGCTAAAAGCAAGGCGGGAAGGCTAAGGGCAGCAGAACTCCACGTGTTGCACACACACACTCTCTCTCCCTCTTCTCAGGCTGTCTGAGGCCCCAGCAAGGCCAGCTCAGGAGCTTTTCCCATCTGCCATGTAATAACGATACATTAAACCTAAAACCAGTGCTCCAAAGATGGGGATCAGCCATGTCGACCAGGAACTACAGGGAGAGAAAAAGAAACAACAAACTAAAACGTGCACACCGCAGAAACCAGAAGAAAGCACCTCGTTATAATCCATCCCCAATATTCATCCCTTGTGGCACATCCAGGGAGCTGTACCCACAGGCTGGCCCCTAAGCATGGCAGCCCCACTGTCCCCAGGCACAGGCTCTGCCAGCCCCCACAGGAGTGGCCTTGTGCCTTATAAAATAGCAGCTGGGTGGCTGCAGTTTCCAGCTTGGCACATCCAGAGACCAGTGGGGGGGGTTTGTTGTTGGTTTGGTTTTATTTTCCTTAAATAAGTCAGGCTGTAATTTGTGTTGTACAAACAACACTGTTGACTCAAGGATGGCAACGGCTACAGCTGTGCCCTGGTAAATCTGCCTTGCTCACCCTCAGCAGCCTCCTGAACAAATCCTCCTGCACGAGCTGCAGGAGAGCAGGGCCCTGAGCTGGTTTTATGGATTTTCATCTAGACTGGGCTGATCATGGTAAAGTCCTCCAAAAACCCACCCATCCCTGGGCCCACAGCGACCACCCAAACAGCCCCTGTGGTTACAGAGATGCAGCCAATGCCAATGCACAGCAGCACAGGGGGCAGAGAACGCCACACACTGGCACGCTGGCTCTGCCCAGCACAGAGCAGGGCTGGGCTCACATCCAGCAAGGGAGGTGCACGCTCTGGCACTTGCTGTGGAGGATCTGCTTGCCAGGACACTGCAGCACATCCCCAGGGACTCGCCTGCCCTTTGGAGTTAACGTGCAGCTCCACAGACAGCCTCCCATCCCCTCCATTTCTCAGCCTTGTTTTCAGGAGATACTGTACCTGGTTTGGTCTGAGGATGTCCTACTTGAATTCTGGAGGAGGAAAGAGTGAGTTAGCAGGGGAACAAAGAAACATTAAATGTGTGCTAATAAGACAAGCCTGAACGTGTGATTACAAATACAGAGGGAAAATCACCCTCCCCTCCCAAACACCCCCTGTCACCAGCGTGGCTGCTTTTGGGGATGTCTGCTGTCATCTTCATGTTCTTCCATCAATCCAATCGGTCCCACCCAGTCACCAGCTTCATGCTGGAACTTGCACCCCTCTCAAAATAAAGCCTTGCTTATTGCATCACACTTTTATAGTTTTGGGGTGGTTTTGTGCTTCCCCCTCATTTATTTGTACATTACTGAGTCTCTCTCTTGCTGCCATCTTTAAATTACACTGGAACCTCCTTTAACACAGATGATGCACTCTAGAAAGAGCCCTCACCTGTGCATAACCTGCTGGACTTATTGATCAGAAGAGAAAAATACTTGAATAAAGTTTTTAACCCAGATCCAAGAGAGCTACTCGGATTGTCATTGATTTCTGTGCACATTTTCAGCATGTTCTTATGGAGTTGAATGAAACAATAAATTTTAAAGTGAATATGTTCATAATCACACAGCTCCATATCTAAGCATAGGCTTTACCCAGCCTGAGTTGTGTTTGATTTCTCTGCAGACAGTTCCCTTCTGGATTCCTGCAGCTCTGCAAGTGATCCTGCTCAAAGAACATCTCCTGAAAGCCCTGCTGAAGGCAGAGCTGTGCCCTGTGCAGGCCTCCCAGCCCAGCCAGCTGCAAGGCACATGTTTACCTCCAGCTGGGATTCTATTTATTGCCTTTTCCCTCTCCCCATCCCTTCCCAAGGCATTTTTGCAACACTCTGCCCTGTTCTAGTCCAGGAGTACCTGAGTGTTAAGCAACAGCACTGATCCCTGAGGCAGTTAACAGAGAATTCCTGTTTGCCAGCCAGACCCTGCTGCTGTCTCCTGGCTCGGAGGGAACAACAAGGAAACCAGTTCCGTGGTCAGGACACAGCCAGAAATGCAAAAAATGGTCTGTGGCTCAAGGTGTGGAAAAAACATCGCTGCTGCCAGCAGAGAAAGGGCACAAAAACTCACTCCCAATTCCACACTGAGGTGCCCACTGAGGTTCAGAACAAAAACAAAGGTAGAATTTGCTTGGGAAATTTATTCGTGTGTAGTTTGCGTAAACATAAAGCCACAAGCTCCACAGGAAAAAGAGGGGGGGAAAAGCCTCCAAAAGACGTGACATTAAATAAAAGCAGAAAACTGGAATGCTAGAGCTTACCTTAGAACCTTGCTTTTCACGATCACTCTGTCAGGCGGAAAAAGAAGAAGAAAGAGGTAAGTGCTGACTTCAAAGGGAGGCTGCAGCCTTTATGAGGGAATTGTTCTGTACAAAGGTAATTGCCTGGGCTCAGTTTTCAAACAAGTCCTTCCTTGGCACCCAAAGGCAGGCAGAAAGGTGTCTGTGCCCCTGGGAACTCTCACCCTCCTGAGCTCAGATTTACAAGGCAAAGGTGGATGATGCTTCCACCAGTTACAGAGGGAACCCATGGATTCAGCTCAAGTGCCCTGATTTAAATGAAGTGAGAAATCTTTTCTGAATGGTGGAAGGACAAGACTAATTTACTTCAGCTTCCCCAGCAGAAACCCTGGACAACACAGGGACTGCCTGAGCCCCTCAAGTACTGACTTATTTCCCAAGGGCCAGCCTGTATCTTTGTCTGGGCTACACTCACCGGTGGGGGCACTCACCGGGTGCACCTCTCCGATGTAGTACTGCTTCAGCATCTCCCTGGCATCTGTGGAATGCCCCACGTCTTCAAAGCTCTCAGTGGCATCTCTGCCAGCTTGCTCAAGCAGCACCTCTTCTCCACCTGGGTGCTGGAAGAGAAGAGTCCAGGTGAGCCCAGGGCTGGATGCAGAAAGGCAGTGAGGATGTCACCAGCCTTCCTCCCAGCCCCACTGCTGGATGCCTCAAGGAACACCATCAGTAAAATCTGCCAGAGGTACAACTGTCCAAGCTCTCCTCAGGAATTCACAGGAAAGGATATTCTCCTTCTTCAGGTACTACAAAAATGATGTTTGGCTGACTCTGCCCACGGGTGTGCAATACTGAACTCGATCCCGTGTGCAACCACCAGTGACCTGGGGGGAGGAAATCATGAAGTACCACAAAAATGGCACTGTTTAATATCAGAGATGCAGAGCTACAACAGGCAAAGCCCCAAAGCTCCAGAGTGGCAGTGCCACTGCTGTGGGGGGCAGCAGTCAGGGCTGACTCTCACGTGGGATGGAGTGGCACAAACCCCAGGTGTGGCTCTGCTGCCTCTGTCCCCTGTCCATGTCACAGCTCCAGGCACAGCCTGGCAATGGAACCACAGACCTGGCAAAGGCCAATCCCTTACAGGCTGAGTGTGAACCACCAGCTAACCCAGCTACACCAACAGAGTGGTCACACATCCCAGGGCACTCACAGGACTAACCCAGGGCTCCAGGGCTGCAGGCAACCAGCCCTGAACTGGAGAAGAGATGCTGGGCTACATTTCAGATCAAAGGAACAACACACCTGCTTCTCTCTGTCACATCCTTCTCCTTCCCACAGACACAGAGCAGTTGCCACCCCCCTCTTCCTTCAGTTTGTCTGCTTTTGCTGCCAAAAGTCTGAATATTCCCCCCAGGCCATCCCCCCTTGCACCAAACACAGGGGGGACAAAAATCAGCCCCCTTGGTGGCTCCAGTGGGCTGCTGCAGACAATCCTGCAATCCTCCTATCAGAGCTCTTTATCTGGAACTGTCCCTTATTGTCCAGGTATGTCACCAAACCAACACAGAGCTTCCTCAGAGCCACAAAGGGCAAAGTGGATGGGGGCACACAGTTTGTCACAGGCTGAGCTCCTGGCTCATTCCCTGTGTCCAGCTGCAGTTCCCCTGGCTGCCCCTTCTCCCACACCAGCCCTCAGCTCACTGATCCCACACGAGTCACACCAGGGACTGCTCACACTGCTCAGAACAACTGCCCAGTTTCCAGCTAAGACCCACTGAAAAGCTGCCCATTTATCTGAGAGTTTTACAAGAACTCCTTAGGGTTGCCTCACCAGAAGTCTCATATTTCAGACAGGAAAATACCTGCATTTTAAGCAGACAACCTTCTTTTCCTAATAATTCACCCCAGAAGGACAGACAAAACCCTGCAGCAACAGGGAATGTGCAGTGGAGCTTTCAGTGACATCCAGTCTCTCCACAGGCAAGAAACAAGAGGAAGGAGAAAATTCAAGAGAGAAGGAGACCATTAAAGTTCACTCTTCTTTACATCTCTGCCTCTGAAGCCTTTCTCTGCACTTGCTAAATCCACAATTATTTATTTGTGCACATCTGTCTTTCACTGCAATCTCCAAGCCTAAAAGAAAAAGACCTTCAAAATATTTTGGCATCTCCTATTTCTGAAGGGCTCTGTCCTCCAGACAGCAGCACTGCAGCCAAACAATTCCCACCTTGTCCCAGCCCAGCAAACACAAACCCAGACTATTTGTACAGGAAGTCACGGACTGTGCCACAAACCTGCCCAAAGCTGCAGGAAAACATGGAAACAGCGGGGCAAACTGTGGGGGGAGGAAGAATACTTCAGGGGAAACAATGGCTGGAAAATGTCCCTTTGTGACAAGAAACTGCCAAAAGCAAACCAGAAGGAGAGAGGGGACAATAAAACTGGGCTCTCTGTGTCACTGGACCCTCAGCACACACAGTAAGAGTGACTGGGAATGAGGGCACACAGCAAAGGCCACCGAGAGCACATCCCAAACCTCCTCAGGGAGAGAGCCTGGAGAGCCCTCCCACAAAGCCCAAAACCTGTCTGCAAATGTCTGCCTGGGAGCTGCTGGCCCAGACCTGCTGCAGACACAGAGGAGCTCAGCAGCCACACTAAGCTCCAGGACTAATTAGATCACTGTGGCAGGTGAGAGATAAGAACACCAGGCTGAGGAGGGGTGAAACTTTCATGCCTAGTGCTCAGAGTCAAAGAAATAAACCAGGAGAGGGAAGGGTTTTGCTGTGCAATAATCATGTCCAGCACCATCCAAGGCAGACCCAAGGATGGGCAGTCTCCTGGAGGAATGACCCACACATCCTGCACAGGGCTGGTGTAAGGCTGGGAAAAGGTTCTCCAAAAACACCTCTGCCAAGCTGGGGCAAGGCAGCAGGAGGAAACTCAGGTGCCTGGTGCTCCTCCTTCTCCTGAAGAACACTGTACCTGAAACCAACCGAGCCATGTGGGTCAGGGCTGTCACAGCCCAGGCTCCTTCCAGCTGGGAACTGGAAATGGATTCCTGCTCCACTTATCAAGGGGATCAGGAGCAGCAGCATGTGCTGAGACACAGAGCTGTGGGGGCTGCTCTGGCCTGTGGGCTCAGATAACAGACACGAGAGCTTCCTGGAGAAACCTGCATCTCCACACTCCCTGGTCATATGTGAAAATGGATAGAAGCTGTATCACTCCAGCAGGACCCTAAATAAACCTTTACAGATTGTGCACAAGTCAGAAGCTCAGATTTTGATACCCTGGTGGTGAAGTGTGAGCCTGACAGGCCCAGAGCTGCTGCAGGAGGTACAGCTGCCTCCCTCACCCCCCAGCACACAGCCTGCTGCTCCAGCCACAGCCTGCACGGGCTTATCTGCACCACTGCAACCAGGAGCAGTCACAGGCGTCCTGCTGCGGTCACTCACCCAGATCTGGGGCAAAACACATCACCAAGAGGCTCTCTTAGATTGGAAATTAATCCCATTTCATTGCAGCCCCTCCCAGGCTCTCTGAAGCACAGGAGATGGCATCTCCCAGGAACACCTGCAGCACTTCAGCTGCTGCCTTTGCACATCTCCTGGATTTGGTTCGTGTTCTTACCATTCAGTAAGTGTTGTTATGTGACAGATGTCCTGTTACTCCTCTTACACATAATGTGAACGGGGAACTTTAACTGGCCCACACTTCCAGCAGCACACGGATTCTGGGCTGGCTGACCTGCAGTGTGTAATTTGCAGGAACTGTGAAGCCAAATTCAGCCTTTCAGCGGCGACTTCCTCAGGATTGCACAACCCCACCCACGGAACGTGGTGCCAGCACCCTCAGCACTGCCAGCCAGATCTGTGAGCAAAGGCCAGGAGGGGCACCCACAGCTCCTGCTGCAGTGCCCACACAGGACGGGGCAGGGGGGACACTGAGCTCTGCAGCTCCAGCTGCCCAGGGAACTGCAGCTCCAGTGCAGACTGGCACTGCTGGGCAGCCACAGAGCAGCCTGGCACTGCTGGGCAGCCACAGAGCAGACTGGCACTGCTGGGCAGCTCCAGAGCACACTGGCACTGCTGGGCAGCCACAGAGCAGACTGGCACTGCTGGTCCCAGCACTCTGCAGCTCCAGACTGGCACTGCTGGTTCCAGAGGCTGCACGGCGCTCCTCAGCACTCAGAGGGTAACACACACACACACACAGAGGATTTTTGCCAATACATGAAGCCTTGATCCCCAGCCCCCCTGTGTCACTCCTGCCACGCTGGCACAGCCCAACAGTGCCCTCATTCTTCTCCTTCTCTCTCGTCCAAGTGGGTCCTTTAATGTCAGGAAAACACAAACAGGGAAAAGGGCCTGGAAAGGACAGAGTGAAATACAATCTCAGGGTGAAACACCACCTCAAGGTGGCACCCAGGGCACTGCTAACCTGGCTGGGACCGAGGTGTTTGTCTGGGCTCACTTATAATTCCAGAGGTGCCCCAGGGAGCAGGTCCCAGGCTCCATCTTAGGGAGAACATCGAGGTGAAGACTCAACCTCCCTGCAGTGTCCCCACTCTGAATCACAGCAGAGACAAGTGCAAGACAGGATTCACAGGATCCACAGCTCCTGCAGCTGCTCCAGCTCCTTCTGGCTCTTCCTAAACCCTAACTCAGCATTTTCTTATTCAGAAACCAGCTGTGAATGGCTTTTCCAAGTTTTTTCCTGGTCTTCCCCTGCATCTGTTTGGCCTTTGAGCACCCACAACTCCTCCCACCAAACCATCCTGCCTCCACCTTGCACATCTCATCCCCCAAACTGCCCTGCCTGGAGAAAAGGAGGCTCAGGGGACCCTCTGCCTGTGCACAGCTCCCTGACAGGCTGGACATCAGCAGGAATTCCTTCATGGAAAGGGCTGTCCATTGGAAGGGAGGGTGGGAGTCCCCATCCCTGGAGGTGTCCAAGGAACAGCTGGAGGTGGCTCTCAGTGCTGGGGACAAGGTGGGCATTGGGCACAGCTTGGACTCCATGGTCTGGGAGGGACAATTCTGTGATTCGCTCATTTTCTGGACCCAAAGAAGAAACCAGATTGTGTCCAACTTCATCAATAAATGCTGAGAGCAAGGCACAGCCTGGAGCTGCCAGTGACCACCCCTCCTGCCTGATGCACAGGCACCCTCTCCACAGCAGCTCTGTCACTGCACAGCACACAGCTTCAACCACGTGGGCCTGCAGGGAAACCAGAGCTGGGCTCAGTCCAGCAGAACCAACAAGCTGGAACAAGTGCATGTCAGTGAAGTGTCTGCTTTGGAGCTGGCTCAGCCCAACCTTTGTACATTGCCCTGCAAACGCCACCAAATCTCTGCTGGTGTTTCAAACTGGGACAAACCCTTTGAGATTTTCACAGAACCACAGAATCACAGAATATCCTGAGCTGCAAGGGACCCACAGAGATCAACACCAGCCCTGCACAGACACCCCAGCAATCCCACCCTGGGCATCCCTGGGCAGTGCCAGCACCCTCTGGGGGAAGAACCTTTCCTGATATTCACCCTAAATTCCCCCGTGCACAACTTCATGCCATTCCCTCGGGCATCACTGTTTTGTTCTTTTATTTCCACTCCATTCCCAGCTCTCACCAGTTAGGACACCACTCTCAGTCTTCAAAATCAGAAGACAGACGCAGTGAGTCTGGAAGGATTTTCTGTCCCCTCGGAGCAGAGGCGCGGCCATGAGGCCCG